GCAAAAGGATGTGCTGGGGCAAAAAAAGAAAAAAGAAAAAAAAAAGGTCATCCTGTGGATGTGAAGTGACCGGCCTGTGAGCCATGAATACAAACCACGTTAAGTCTGGGAGCTAAAGGCAGAGCCACATCAGTTCCGGGTACACGCAGTACAGAATGGATAAACCCTCATCAAGGCGGTATAAATAACAGGAAGCGCCCCCCCCTCTCCCTCCCTCTCTCCCCCCCTCCTGTGTGACACACCAACACCGAGTCTCACACTCCCGGTAATTACCTGCTCCGTTCAGGTGACCGGAAACGCGGATCAACACCTCCCCCTGGTGGACGTGACGGGAAGTGCCGGGAAATAATCTGTCAGAGTCATTTGTTTGGGGGAAAAAACACAACAAAAAAAGACAAAAAACATTCATCAAACATCACAGAATTGTAACATGACTTTCTTAAAAGATGGAGCATTTCTCAAAGCTTTTTGGCCATGATGGTAGTGGTGACATCATCCTGTGGGGTTGTCTGGCTGCCCGTAGAAAAGTTGATTGAATAAAAGTAGATGATTCTAACTGTTTTGATCATAAACAGATGAATAAATAAACATTTTCAGTCAATTATGTCTGTTGTTTTATCACTGCTGCACAAAAAAAAAAGTCAAAACTAAATCAACAATAAAACCCACAAAAACAGGAACCTTGGGTTCCTCGGGTCAGTTTCTTCTGAACCCGATTCAGTGTAGGACGCCTCTCATCAGGGCCCAGGAAGAGGAGGACTGGACAGCTGGCCGCTGGTCCGAGGGCCTCTTTTCTGGTCAGAGTGTTTGGAGGAGTGGTGGGGAGCAGAACCAAAGCTGATGGAGGTCCAGTGTCAAATGTCCAGTCAGCAGAAGTCCAGTCTCTGATTCCTTAAATCCAAAGTCACCGCAGTGCTCTGGTAGAGGGTTTTAGAGCATTGGTCCCTGGCCTTTTTTTTTTTTATCACCGAGGACTGGTCAACGCCCGACAATTTTCGGATGGACCGGACCAACTTTATTTTTCCAACTTTATATTACGCCGAGTGGCCTCAATTTCTTGAAAGAAACTCTCCAAAGACATCTGTTTTCTACTTATTTTTCGAACTTGTGGGTTAAATTTTGGGCGCCCGAGGAACCGAGAGAATCCGGTCATTTTTCAAAATAAAAGATTGTCCAAAATAAAAGATTATTCAGACTGGGAGAATAAATACAACGGAAACGATTCATTATTACTTGGGCGGCCCGGAGCCAGCTGATCTACGGCCCGGGACTGGTCCGCGGCCCAGGGGTTGGGGACCAGTTTTAGAGGACTTGATGATCCCTTCTGCTGAGGATCTGTATGAGAATCCACTGGTTTTTACGTTTATGGATTTTTTTTTTAAGCGATTCTTTATTCTCAGAGGAAAATTAGGAGCCGATGCCACGAGGCAGCCATTAGGGCAAAGGGATTCCTAACCTATTGAAGACAGACATGTCTTAAAAGCATCGTATTTCAATTGATTTAATCCCAATTTCTTTTCTTTTTTTCAGCAAATACTGAGAGGTACATGGTGATTTCTTCATAATATTCAACATTTTTTAATTCCCTTTTGAAGGTTTTATGAGCTGGAAGCACAAATGCCGTAACAATAAACAAATAAATACTTGAAATCATTTAAATTGTAGGGTCTGAATCTGTAATCTATGAAAGTAGATTTTTTTTTTTAAATGGAATTCTGGAAATTAAACTTCTCCATGATGTTCACATGTTTAGGAAAGGGTCTGTAGGAGTGGGTGAACCATTAGGATCAGGAAATAGTGGCAAATAAAACAGTCAAAGGCGAGAGGAGATGTTTTTTTATTTTTTATTTGATTGACTTTATTTGTAAGGCACAAGAAGTCCTTCCTTACTGCAGAACATTTCATATCATTTATAGTAAATTTTTGTTGTAGGTTGTTTCTTAATAGTTTCTTTTCTTTTTTTTTTCTTGTGGCTTGTTTAAATGAAGCTATGATTTGAGACACAAAACATGTTTTTTTTTTTGCCAAAGTACACAGTTTTAGTTTTACATTATACACAAAATAAGTATTTAAAAAAAGACCTTTACAAAGCTCATAACGCTTACAATGCTTCACGCTATGATGGCAGGTAAGCGGGGGGGGGGGGGTGCGGGCTTTAAAGAAGATGAGGCGGGATGGGGGCAGATCAGAAAGGACAGGGGGCCAAAGGGTTATAAAGGTCAACAGACTGCAGTCTACCCCCCCTCCCCTCCCCTCCCCACGGTGTCACATCAGTTTTGTAACACAAGATCACAAGAATCATTCAGAACAGACAAGAGAAGATGCAGCCATATACACATAAAGCTTTCTATGTATAAATAGAGAGGCGAGCCGCGCCAGCTACTGGAACAGATACATAGAACTTCATTTGTATGTTTAGAACATCAGCTTCTTAGCTCTCCTTCTAGTTTATATCGAGCACTATAGAAAGAAAAAAGGGAGGAAAAATACCGAGCGAGCTGATCACAAAGTTCCGATCAAACATTGTTTGAAAAAAAAAGAAAAGAAAAGAAAATGTCTCCACTAGAAAGAAATCAACCTCGGGTCCTCGCAGACATGCATCGGTACGGCGGAGGCGGGGGGGGACCTGCACAGGTCGGCCATTTGGTGAGAGGATGAGAGACTATTTGTGTTTTTTTCCAAGACTAAAAAAAATGCTGTCTTTCGAGGTCCGGCACAACGAGGGCTCAATTAACCACGAAGCTCTGCATGCTGGGAAAACTGATGCTACGAAATTCGGAAAGCGAAAACACAGCCTGTGAAAGATGGCGGAAAAATCGGGGGGGGGGGGGGGGGGGGGGCAGGCAGACGAATTCGAGTAGCTGAACCTGAAATGTTTATTTGAGTGTTTCGGCTGAGGCTGATCTTCAAATTTGATGCCATCTACTCTCCGTTATAAGAATAAACACTTGAAAAAACGATTCGGCTCCCCCAGAAAAACAAGTCTCCCTGCGAGCCCTGAACATGCACAGGCCTACACCAATTGGCCTCGTGTTGAGGAGGCCATGGAAACTTCATAAAAAAAACATCAAGAGGACGCCACGCAAAATCCTCTGGGAAGGAAGTGGAAATGCTTTTGGCTAACTTTACCTGCTATGGGAAGATTAGCTAGGATGTTTGTACTGCTCAGTCGCTAACGCTCATTGGACAAGAGGCCTAATGGAACCACAGCCGTGGGAGCCACTTGATGGTTTTCCTCGTCCTAGCAGCTGCGGAAACGTGTGAACCTAACTGACGGATTTCCTCGGTGTTGCGTTGAAAGCACTGACCACAAATCCTCGAATTTGCCGAGTGACAAATGTGTCCAACCGGCATGGTAACGTACAGTGTTTGAGACGGATTTACGGCAGCTGGGGTTCTTTTCTTTTCCCAGCTCGTCTGTAAAGTGAAGCGTGAACCGGGAAGATTCATAAACCCCCTACGGGCTTTTAAAAAAAATCAAAGTGGACGCACTTTTTTGCGGCGCCGATTTCACGCAGAAAAGAATCTCCAGCGTCTGAGTATTAAACGGTGCACTCGGTGGGAAAGTAATTGTCCTTGTTTTGCCCGGATTGCAAATCTTTAAGAGAAGGACTCTACAAAGACACACACTGCCCTCTGCTGCCAGCATTCTGTGGAATGTTGTGCTGCCCCTCTGGAAGGGATCGAGGAGGATTTGACCAACGCACCTCACAGGGGTCAAAAGAGGACCAAACTATTTCTATTACACAAAATTAATTGAACTTCGTTTTTAATACTTTTTTTTTTCCTAAAGTCATGTTTTAGGCCAATGTTTATACACTTCCCTGATCTTTTACAGCCCCTCGTTAAGCCTCAATGCCCACTTTCAGTGTGAAATAAAGCTCACCGTTCTGAAGGGCCAAAACTGCTGGTCTCGTCTGGATTCTTGATTTAAGGAGACTGACCTTTGGGGGAATCTTTTGCTTTGTTTGATGACTTTACAACCTGTCAAAGAAATCCCTGAAAACCCTGCCTGTGTGACGTGGAGAAAGCAGGGCACTCTGCCTTTGGAATCTGCCCTACCAAACAGGGACCTGTGTGGAACCAGAGGGGAAGAAAGTGGGGCATTTAAAGGGGGAAAAACCCAGACTAAATTGGAATGAGAAGCAAGAGGCAGAAAATCAGAAAAGAAGAGAAATATGAAATTCTGATTTAAAAAAAAAAAAAATAGCCAGGAAAACGCAGCTGGAACACAAAAGCGGGGCAGGATTCAAAGTAAAGAGAAAAGTTTCCACAATAACGCAGACAATGTCATGGTGATAGACAGGGAGGCAGATATTGAAACCCCTTTACTGTAAATATGACGATACCAGAGTGCCAAAGCTCGTCCCATAATGGGATTAGGAATGGTTCTGAAGCTGGAGCTGTGATGATGGGATGAAAGTCCATGTTGGGAGGGTCAAAGAGGGGGAGAGACTAGGAAGAGAGGCTGGAGGGGTTGAAGAGGCTCAGATCCGGGGGTTCAGGTCTCTGGATAAAAGCAGAGCTGAGGGGGGGAAAACACCATCTAATCAGACTTGTCTCCGTCCTCCTCGCGGTGACTGTCGACGCCCTCGCGAGAGGCTTTTTCTTCTTTGGCCAGCTGGGCCTGGGAGGCCAGCAGAGACGAGAGGGAGAAGAGGCCGGAGGAGGTGGTGACGGCGGGGAGGCTCGGCTGGCTCAGGCCCAGGGGCAGGGGGGTCATGGGCAAGGCCAGGCCCTGGAGCTGAGACAGCTGGTGAGCCTGGAGCTGCTGCTGTAAGGAAGACAACCAGACACAGCTTAGGCACAGACGGGAAGCCGAGCACGCGGCGTCCAGCTAAAGCCCGGTGCGAGTAAAAAACGGGGAGTCCGTAAGCCTGCTGTAAAGCGCGCCCTGAGGCCCAGCGCTGACAGACTGAGCTCAACAGGATGTCACCACAGAGGCACCCGTAGTGGTGGAAGATGAAAAGTCAGCGGAAAACATTTCCTATTCATAATTTATGGAATTTTCAATACGTGCAATTAGCATCGAGAGAACCCCGTGCCGCAGAGAGCAGCGCCAGGGGAAAAAAATCTTAACGGGAAAAAACATCTATTGGCACATACAGTGAGTTTTAATTGAATTTACAGAAAGTTGCTGATTGCACACACTCAACATGATAAACCCTATTTGTTTTGTTTTTTTCTGACCGATTTAACAGCATCAGGCGACTTTAGCTACACCTCCGACTCAAAAGCTCTGCTTTAGATTCAGAACCCGACGGCTCCATGTGCCCCGAATGGGAAGGATACAATTATAAGGATCAAAGTGACATTTTAGCCACAAGTACAGACCTTCTGTGATCCAACCAGAACACAAAGACAGGAGAAACTCTGTAATTTATTCCTCACAGTGATGGGGGGGAGGGGTCGGGCTAGCCTATATTGGACTCACAGCACAATGATGGCGCATCAACAATAGCCAGCTCTGGGATGATGATGATGATGATGCTGAGAGACAGCTCACTTATATTAAAGCCGCAAATATAAAAATACTGCAGCCCTTAATATCCAATTAGCAGTGATTCAGTGTTTTAGACGGAAGCCTTCCATTATAATCCTCAAACATGATGCTTCCTGGAGAAAGAGTGCTACCAAAAAAACAACCAAATTAAGGCATTTGGACGGGGGAGTGGGTCATTTGACACACAACTCATTCTGAGGAGGAGATTTGTCGCACAAGCACAACGCCGATAAACAAAGCGATTAAAGCAACAGACAATCGATCACGCCGATCAATATTCGCATTTCTCAAGCCGTCGGCAGACGGGGACGGAATATCGTACCCTTATGATGGAGTTCATCTCTGGAGGGGTGACCTGCTTGGCCCGCTCTATGGCTGCCAGGACCTGCTGCTGGTGCTGCAGACACAGGGCGTGTTTAGGGGAGGGGGCAGGAGAAGTTAGATCAATATCAATAGTCCCAAAAGACTCCCCAAATGCACCTCCCCCTCTGGCCTTTTAGCTATTAATCCAGTAGCATATGAACACACACACACGCACACACAGGGGTACAAAAGCCTTGAGTGACGGTGGAGAATGGATGGTCGACTGGTGTGCTGTAATGGGTGGGGGTCATCTCCCTTGAGGGCAGATAAGAGCGCGGCTTATCTGAATCACACGGCCATTTATTACACTGGCAGAAAAACACACACACGGACGCACACGAAAAGGGAAAGAAGGGCGGAGTGGCGAGGGGGGGGGCAGACGAAAGAGGGAAACCTGGGAGAGGAAGAGGAGGTCAAAGTGGAGATCGGAAAGTGAAAACTGAGGCTGGAAGCCGGCGCGGGAAGAAAGGGATGATAAATGAAGGGTGGAGAAAGGAGGGATGCTGAGCGAGGAGTCACAGAGGTGGAGAGGTAATGAGGCGGCAATGAGGCTGATCTCATTTCAGGATGTAAGCAGCGCTGCGGGTCAGGGGGTCAGGGTGAGTGTGCTTACCTCCTGAGACAGGTAGGGCAGGACTTGTGCGCAGATCCCGTTCAGTCTCTTCACTATTTCAGCCTGTAGAGAGAGAGTAACCCAGTTCAAAGACCACTCTTATACCTTAAAGTAGTGTAAGTTTAACAAAGCTACACAACTACACACCTAAAAACGGCTTTTGTCACCTTCTTTTGTGACCTCGTTGTGGCATTTCGATGATTCCTGACCCTTAACAACCTCTAATTTCACTTTTTTTGTGCCCGCAATACAACTATTAGTCTTCTAGGCTGTGGAGGAGACACCTATAGGCAGGGTTAATACTCATTGGTCGAAGCGCCGGTTTCCAAAAGAATAAGAACAGGTGGGGTTACCATGGAAACACGGATAGCGAAGTGTTTTAGAGATTGCACTGAAGTTTAAGGTCTATTCTGACACTATACCCACAAAAACTGGATAACGTTATTTTGTTAGACTATGGCTCTGTAGTGTGCAATAAGGGAGCTTTTACTGCACGGTGGAAATGCTGACCGGCCTGGTGTGGCCAGTTTCCCTGTTTCAAGTCAAATAAATTATGTATATAAATCATATAATATATATAATACTAATATGAATTCTGTATAAATCATATATAATGAATTATGTATATTTATGCAAAAGCACTGTGTTTTTTTCCTGAAAAGTTCAACCACTTTGGAATATTCATACAATCTTGAGAAAGTGAGTTTATAGTTTTTTTTAAATCAAAAGTATTTTTTTTTAACGGCATTGATTGGCCAGGGAATCACGTGATTAGATGGCGACTCAGTCATGTGGACCCCCGTATAAGAACAAACGTTTGATCCCAGACGTTGAAGAGTAAAGTGAAGGATTCCTTCAGCGCAGAGCTGCAGTATTGGGGGGTTGACTGCCAAGTCCCACTTCATTATTCACCAAATCATTTTCCAAACGTACACCGGAGCCAGCTGGGAATTAGCAACGCCACGTCTCCTCTGCTGGATCCCCCAACGCATCATACACCTGCCGTTTGGATCTAAGCGTCCCCGTTTCAGTCATTATGCTAACTGAATCCACAGTGGGACTCCAGAAGTGTCTACAGCCTCGTCTCCGTTGCCCAAACAAAACCCAAAAATATTCGAACAGCAGCGCTGGCTTACATCTATCTTTTTTTAGGTTTTTTTTTTTTATGGAGGGGCAAAGAAAAAACTACTTAGAAGTCCTCGTCTAATGTGAACTGCCTTTCAGAGATTCATATCACGCGCTCATTAGTATGAAAAACGTATGCCGTGACCTTCCTCATCTGGGGGAAATACACCTTGTGTCCCTCCCACACACACACAGACAGACACACACGCACACACACAGACACACACATCAGACATATCAAAATCCCTTCATGCGCACAATTAATTAAGTTGCTTGTGTTTAACACTCCTTTCGAAACTCTTTGTTAGCAAAGGTAATTACATGCAGACTAACAAATCACTGATGCAGGGACTCCGTCTTTTCTCCTTCACCTCATGCACATTTCCCTATCTTTCCTACATGTGGCTCCGTTATCACATTTGGTTGGTAATCGTCCAATCCGTCTGAGATCTACAAAGCAGCAGTAATTGTGTTAGAGCCTAATTCCTGGCGTGATGAGGGAAGAGGGGCACTCCTAACACTCATTAGGCATGCAGAGCGCAGCGCCCCATCAAGCGCTCCGCTCCTAACCGCTCATCATTATACATACAATCTCCCTGACATCTCGGAAATGTCTCTTTAAAAGGTCCCTGCAGAAATCGCCCCGTGCCATCCGCGGCGTCTCTTCTTTCTCTGTGCCCTTTCGTCCATTTATCACCACCCTTTTTCTCCAGCCAACCCGCTTTCCGTCTCTACTTTTTTTATCTCGACTCCATCGTCTCCTCGTCTGTGCTTCTCCCTCAGAGTTTTCTTTCCCAAAACGCCGCTTTCTTTCAAGTCCTCTCTTTGTATGCAAGTCCGCTTCTTTCTGTCTCTCCTAAAGTTCTTGTTTTATTTTACAGAGAAGCTTCGAGTGAGCGTAAAATACTAGTATATGAAACTGGGGCGATGTTAATCGGTTTGTTTTTTTTGGTCGTTTTGAAGGAGCTTCCCCTTTGTATTAAAAAGCAGCTTCAAAGGAGTGAGCGAATAGGGACAAAAATGGGCTCCAGCTGATTAAGAATGTGTTTATAAGGAAGACAGCCTGAACAAACATAACATTGCGCAGACTTCTTAAGTGTCCTGGTTTTCTCTCTGTATGGATTTCACTATTTGGGGCTTGTAGAACTGCTTCCAGCCAGGTGACGTTAGAGTTCTCACAATCTATTTCTATTCGATTGTGAAGCTCTATTAAACAACCACATGTAAAAGATATTGCAGGAATAACTGAAATATACTTCCGTTCCATTTCAGGAGATTTCCATTTTTTTATTTTTCTTTATTTTCTTAAAGTAAACAGACCCAACTCAAGCATTTACTGGAAATGGGAAACTGCTGCTTTCCAATACAAGATGAGGAGATACCAGTGGAAGGGACCAGAGAAAAGAAAAGCCAACAGACAGGAGTGGTGAGGACAAAGTGGTTAGGAGGGAGCAGTTGAATGTGGGTGAGAAAAGAGAAAGAGGGAAATGAGATTGTGGTGGAATGAGGATCTAGAGAAGGAAAAGAGGAAGCGGGAGAAGGAGGAGGAGAAGCTGTACAATGGGCCGAGACACGAAGGCTTCTCGACACTCGTTTCCACACATTCCCTTCAATTTCGACTCTCTAATGGAAGTAGCCGTTCGCGGCACCCCCACACACAGTGCACAAAGGACGCACACGCACACACACAATAGCAGCTGCTTCTGAACATGTGCCAGCTATACACACACACACACACACACACACAGACACACACACACAAACTGAAGCATATTCGTTGAAGGAGGAGGCGCCGGAACACACAGTGAGGCTCCTGTTGGCAGGCTCAACCCACACGCTGTCATATTTTATCCCCCCGATCAGCAGACAGTCGATACAGAAATATGCAAACGTCCAGTATCACAACCTGACTTGTGCCTGTGTTTCCCTCTGCTGAGATAAAGGAAGGGGGGGGGCGGAATATTGAGTGCAGTTACATACACATGCAGAGCTCTGTGTGTGTGTATGTGTGTGTGAGCAGCATGCATCACAGTGCCTGTCTTGGGCTTCCAGCCTCATGGTTTGTGTGGGTGCATAAATGTGCAGGTCTTTAAATCATGGAAGCTGCTACTTCTGTCTCCATTTGTCAAAGCATGCTCGCTTCTTCCAATATGGTTGTCAGCGTGCGCCGTCAATCACAGGGCATCTGCGTGTGTATGTGTGTGCGTGTATGCGTGTGTGTGTGCGTGTGGATGTGCAGCTTGAGATGAGGTCACCGATAAAGGTTGGCCCTTTGGAGGCCCATCGCTCTCTCCTACCTACAGGCGAAGCATAAATTGCTCCCCCGGCTACAGCAACAGAAATTGATGTATGTACAGCAGCTCCGCTTCCAAAGCTGGGATCGAGGCTTCTCTGCATTGTGAATTTTCTGATGCTAAACACATTGTGGATCCTCGCCGAGTCCAAATCCGCAGGAAACGTAGAAACATAGAAACAAAACGAAGCTCAGCTGGTAACCCCCGATCACAAACTGACGGCGAATTGAAATAAAACGTGTCGTTTTTAAAGGGATATTCACATTCAACCCAGAGCCGCCCGGCACATGACAAACATCCATCTAACACCTGAATGCAAAGAAAAAAGGACATTTCCTTCCAAAATATGATCAAAACCCTAGTACACGATAAACATAGACTAAAAAGTACTGAGAAGACATATAGATATTTGTTTTATATGCTGGATTTATGTTTTTTTAATTTTTGCAAATGATCATCAGTGGAATTCTTTCCACTGCATTATTCTTTTGCAAAGGAAAGTGACCAAAATTTTGAAAAATAGATAGAACTAATAACACCATTCCTGTTGGTAGAAAACATTTAAACAGGGCAAAATACATCTCCATAACCCTACATCATCACTCTGCATTTGCATAGCAGAAAAAGAGACTTTACAGTGTCTAAACCCCTTTAACTCTGATACAGGACAAGATTTCGTGTAGACTTACCTGTTTGTGCATCTCAATGTTAAGCCCATAGGACATCTCATAGTACTAGAAAGAGAAAGAGGAAGAATACACTTTAAGAACAGAGACCATAGACAGTTTAAAGACAAACTACCAGTACAAGTGTCACATCCTGCTGACCAGCTGTGATAAATGATGGTGGAGGTTACATGTGCATTCGGTTAGACGGTACATTTCTTGGCCAAGTTTTCAACATCTGTGCTCCATATGCACCATAAGGCTTGAAATGGAAAAATAACAAAGGCAAAAGACATTACAATCGTCGTCTCTGAATGGTCTGAAGAAGCTCAGAAAACCTCATCATCTCCCAGGGGTTTTCCACTAGTAACTATCAGTACTACACTCAGTTTTTATGCCCTGCTCTGTAATAAAACATTTTAAAAAACACCAAAAATTAGTCATGGCAAGGCGTATCAGGCTGAGAAGGTACTAATGGAAAACCACCAGTTGGTGTGTGGCTGAGAGTAGGATTGGGTGGGAGGCATAAAGTCCAGATTTTGTTGAAGTTTTTGAATAGTATTTAATCTCAGACACAGGTAAATACTTGGAACAGTTCTTTGTTTTTATAAATAATGCATTGCCATTATCTTTACACTAATTTTAATATGCTTATAAGCAGGTGTCTCATACTACATCAGTCACACTAATATTTATATATTTGTGGGATTTTATGACTCTTGCTGTCAATCAGAATGCCAGCTTGTGTTTTCTTTCTTCACGTCTGTAAGTGGGATAGGTTTTGGAGTTTTTTAAATACCAGCTGCCACCATAAAGTAGCAGAGACAGAAAAGTTTTGTGTATTCATTAGTGTGGAATAAGATCTATTATCTCATGTTGCCAACAGTAATTAGCTATCCTGACAAGTCGGTGTGATCGGTAACAGTTTCTTTAGGGCTTTTTTCCCTTATTTTTTACAACTGTGCTTTTTTTCTTTTTCTTTTTTTAAATGAGCTTGTTCTTTGTTCAGCTCGATTTGACAGGGGGAAAAATACAAAAAAAAACAACAACGCATCGACTTAAGAACTTTCCTTTACAAAACCTCAGCTCCATAAAAACAACTGCTATAATCTTTGGTTTAATGTTAAACCGACCATTTTTTATCTGTATAATCCTAGTTTCACCTTGGCGTGTATGGATCTAGTCAATTAAAAAACAAAACAAAAATGGGGATGAATGGGTTTTATTTTTACCAAAGACCTCTGAAATGAGAAGCCAGACCTTGCGACAAACACTTTGAAAGATAACAAGATCAAATTCAGGTAATAAAAAAAACAATGAAATCAAAGCAAAATTCATCCTTCGAAACCAGGAAGTCTAAACTCATTATGAGACATGTTTGGAGGCTGAGTAACAAAAACACTCCAAATTTCGATCCGACAGCGTCCTCCAATAATGACACACATACATGTGGACCTCCTCACACCGAAATAGAAAAAATGATGGGAGAAACGGAGAGGCAGTTGGAAAAAGAGCCTTTGTTGTGTGTGTTCATTGTAAATAAGAGGGCCACCTTTTAGGCATCAACCCTGTTAATCACCCACTCTGGCTGCAGGGGTCTGGCTCTGTCACTGGAAAACAAACAACACACTGATATCTCAGAGTGTTGATAGAGAGTGTGTGTGTGTGTGTCTCTCTCTCAAACACACACACACATTTATGTCACTTAATCATTATCGCGCACACAAAAATGCACAATATTGTTGTTTCCGTTCAGTCTCACGCTGTCGGTGTCTTGAATGTGAATGCGTGTGCACATACATTAATCACAAACACACACGCTGTGTATTCTTCTCCGTAGCTGCCCACGCGGAAGCTCCCTAAAGTAATTACAGCACTGGGAAATGGAGGTGCTGCCTCTGGCTGGGGGGAGTGGGGCAACCTGATATGCTATTAGAGCAAGAGTGGGGAGGTTGCTGTGGGGATACAAGACTGGGCAGGCTACTGATGGAGTGGAAACGTGTGTGTGTGTGTGTGTGTGTGTGTGTGTGTGTGTGCGCGTTGGTGCATTTATGTGCAAGCGGGAAGGTGTGTGTCTATGTCTGGAACTGCGAGAGGAGAGAGGGTTCAGCAATATTGCATTTGCAGCTCACTTTTGCAGCAACATTTTGAGATAAATCTAAAGATGGTTACAACTGAAAATCCATCTGTGTCCATGTGCAATTTGATTACACCCTGAGTGAGGCCTGCCATATAAATGGATAGATCAAAGCATTATGGGCCCAATTAGTTCTGTAACGTTAAGAAAAATACTATTTTTACAGATGGGGAGCCAAAGCCAATCAAAGTTAGCTTTTTTTGCTGTTCTTTTTAAAAACTATTACAAAGCTAAAGGTGTTAAGAGTGTGGCGTTACAGACAGGATTTCTCTCCGTTAGTCTTTTGTTATATTTGGGGAACTTGAGCGCTTGGTTCGTTTCCCGTGGCGCCTGCAAAACGCGGCACGTCGTACCCCAACAGGGTTATGAATCGCTGCCCCAACCTGGCGAGTCTCAACAGAACGTGCAGACGTCTCACTTTACTCGTAAAATGACCGTGTTTAGCAGTGAGCCATTTGAACCATTTCACATTCTAAAAAGGCTAAAATAACAGGGGGGGGGGGGACAAACTAAAAGCAGCATTCTGCCTCGCAGGGCGTCGATGAGAACAAACAGCACACACCAATGAAAACCTCCCATTTTCCTCTCACCGCTGTGTGTTGATATCATCAGCCTGTGGGTGAGGAAACCTTTTGCTGAGTGTTTTTCTGACCATCAAAATAAGTTACAAATGTGGGTACTTAAAGGAGCTGAGTTTCTTCTAAAAATGTAAATGCTTAAGTCAGCAGTAACCTGTAGTATAATTCAAAACTGATAAATATGCGTAGAAAAAATACATGTACGTGTTGCTATTTTTAAGATTTTCCCAAATCTGCATTATGAATGGGCCCCTCTATCCCCTATGTTTCTTCTGAAGGGATGACAATACCAGAGTGTGTGCAAGCCGCTGCCTGTCCACAGACACACAGAGGAAGCGTGTGCATGTTTGTGTTTGCTTTGTGTGTCCCTGCTGGCTTGCTGATTGTGGAGAGAGCCGCGCGGCAGCGCAGATTAGATGAGATTAAAGCCAGTCAGAGGATCAATTAGAGGCAAAACATCAGACGGCTACACAGCCACGGCCAGCAACAATGAGATTAGCCCCCGAGGTGGAGCAGAGAGCCGGCGAGCACGTCTCTGCGTGCGCGTTTGTGTGCGAACACGAATGCGTGGAGCGAGATGGAGGGGTGAGAGAAAACTATTAAAATGAAAGGGGTTTTGGAGAGAGGAGTAATGTATACCCAACATCAGAAACACAAAGGAAGCAAGCATCTAAAGCAATTCCAGTCAACCTCACCTATTCTTTTTTTTTTAATCAACATTCTTATAGTGAATATTTTGAGCAATTCTAGGCAAAAAAAACCCCCACTAAAACCAAGTCGAATGGAGCAGATTAATTATTAATAGCAAATATATTAAATCAGCAATAAAATAGATCCTTTGTGACCCTGAAAGCATCCAGATACAAGTGACTCTCCTGATGGACAGTGACAATATTTCAATGGGCCAAAAAGGAGTGTCGATCAATTTGCCGCATACAGAATCTTTTAAATGAATCTTTTAAATTATTTATAGTTTTGTACGACACCTTTTTGCTTCTCTGGAGATGTACGACTTGATTCAGTGATACATTGCAACTGAAATCCCCCGCTATCATCCCCATGTTTAAATTTTTTGCTATTGCGGAGACCAAAATGACAAACCTTTGAAAATATGGGGTGCAAGGTGTAGACAGAACTATAGAGTGTGTATAGAACTGCAAACACAGCAAATACACAGCAAAGGAGAAAGTGATTTCCTTGTATGTGAACACAAATAAAATGTTAGCAGGTCAACTCACCATGATATAGTGGCGCTGCATCTCTGACTTCTCACTCGCCAGCTTGTCACATTCGAGCTTCAAACTGGAGGGGAGGAAGAGGAGAAGGACAAAGTCAGACTTGTTACTCAGCTTTACAGCCTTTGTCCTGAAGTGCTGACACCTCATAATCATTACCTCCAACCATCAGCACCGTCGTCCTGTTCCTAATCACTAAAACGTCCTCCATCTTGATCAGGACTATCTTCGTTCTATTTTTTTTCTTTCACTTATCACCATCTAGAGTATCACGTCAGCACCATAAGCCTAACCTTTACAAGTCGGTGGCATAATTGATGGAAAGGAGCTGATCTGGTTAGGGGCTACAGTGATGAACTTTACAATCAAACCCAGCTAAAAGGCCCGATTTCTTATCCGGCGAAGAAGCAGTGCAGTGATAAGGCGTTTTTTTGCGACAGCCATTAGCTCTAATCATGTTAGTGCTTCTGTCACGCCAGGCGACAGGACAAAGCAGAGGAAGGCAACAAGAAATCCCCGTCGCAAAATAAAAATGACAAACACAGCCCCTCTGTAGTTTTGATGGAGGCAGCTGGTTAGAAAATCCCAGCTTCAGAAGACACCACCCACTCCGAGGTTTTGACTCATCACAATATTCACAAACCCGGACAAAAAGGTTTAGATTTCGGATAACTCTGTGGCCCGTTTGGTGGCGTGTGCATATTTATGGTTGGGTGCTCTCCTCAGCTGTCTGCTGGAACGACAGCTCGATTATAGAGAGCACTGGCTGAGACTCCACTGCGGTTAGTCCTAACTGGCAGACTGACTGTGCACTAAAGCGCACAGGGCCGGGCTTTCTCAGTATTTATCAAAGCTGAGTTTTTCTAACCCTAACCCTAACAACGCAACACTAAATGCTGGTAATGGCTTGAAATCATATAATTTATTCAGACCATTTTGACATCTACCATATAAAAAAATGGTTTTTGGTATTATTTTTGCTACTGCAATTGATTTTCTCAGTGCATGTAGCAACCGGAGTGAAATTCAACATGGGTTGAAAAAAAAAAAAGGCAAGGAGAAGTCATTGAAGTACCAATCCATCAAACAGACTGGTACTTCAAATTCTCGAGCCAGGGGAAAAGCAAAGGACTAGCAGTTCCTGGTGAAAAAAAACAAAAAAAAAACAAAAAAAACCCCTTCATTTAGAAACTAGAAAGTTGCTCACCAACTCTCCTCGGTTAAGCTACAGCTCACAAACACGTCCATCCAGGCTGAACACGGATCAGCCCCAACTTGAAAATGGCTGTTTTTTTAACTACCTTTCACGGCATTCGGACACATATACACACTGTGCCTTTATGTACCCAAAACAAGTTAAACGGCTAATGGCTAAAGAGCTAACAGTGTTGAATCAGTCATGTTCTTAAAAAATTTGATCGATTAACAAAGCACCAAAACGACCAGTACCAACGCCCAGGTGGACAAAACACTGGAAAAAACACAAACCTTGATTTCAATTAGCATTACAACTCAAATAACATGAAGACAATGCAATTTTCAGCTACTGATGGACAGCCATCAGAAGCAAGGGTTTCTCTTGCTTTTAGAGAAATGGACACACATATAATCATATATGTTGAAAATAACCTGCAGTGATTGTGCATTGAAAAATAAATAGATAAATCAAACAAATGCTTTTAGATCCTCAAACCAAGCTAAGCTGGGTTACAGTTGGTGGTTCAAACAATAGGTATCTTTTATTTTTCAAATTGCTTTTCGGATGTTATGTTACATTTCAATATTGGGGTTGCCAGAAAAAAACAAACACTTGGCAACTAATGTCTTAGCACATCTCCTGTACGTGGGAGGCTTGAGAAGAAACATTTTCTCATCATTAAGAATTAACCATCAGTTGTGGGAGTAAATAAATCCCAGTTAAACTTTACTAGTATCTGTAAAACAGAGATGATGGAGTAGAGTGCAAATGACTGTGTCCTTGTGTGCCCAGACAGAAAAATGTCAGACCTCTTCAGAATTTAGCCCTTTGTGACAGCTCAGTAGTTTATAGATATATCAATAGATAGATAATGTTGACACACAATAGGTATCCAACCTGACATCACTTTCATGGAGGTGTGGGGCGAGCCCATTCTGTTTTCTACCTCTGTTTAACCAAAAAAAAGATCCCCCAACCCCCCCAAAAAATTGCCTTCCCCCCATCCCCTATCCGTGACTGTACGAGTAGGCCGTGTTGCCAGTTGTCATGACGACAGGTGTCTTCCCAGCCAGCCTACTTTGGATTGGCTGCGTGCGTCTGATTGCTGCTCGGCAGCCCCGGGGTCCGCGCTGCCGCTCTCAAACGACACTTTGATATAGTTTTATTGCCGATTCTTCCGCCTCTAAATCGCTCAGGCTGTCGTCTTTATGTTTGATATATGCGTTCCCTGATCTATTTATGCGCATGAAAAACGGGAAGAGGCGGGGGGTAGGAAGGTGGAGGAGGAGGACGACGACAGCGACGCCGTGCCCAGGGGAGCGCCTGCAGAGCGTTTGCCTTTTACAGTCTTCAGCAACAGGCGAGACAAAGCGCGGCAGCAGTGCTACAAAGCCTCATTTGTGGCTGCCGAGCCCCCCCCCCCCCCCCCCCACCCCCCCACCGCCGCATCTCAGCCCTCTTCCTGAGTCAATAGGCACTGTATGTGTGTTCTGTATGCTTAGACAAAAGAGGTATTCTTTTTAGCTACGCCCAGACTCTAAAGAGGGTTAAACGGCGCTGCTCGCTGTTGTGGGAATAACAAAAAACCAAAAAGAAGAGGAAGACGCGGAGGGCGTCGCTGCAGCTCGAGAATCCTCCACCAACAAGAGCAGTCAGACCCGAGCGAGGACTTTGTACAGAACGCGCCTGGCTTTCATGTGCCTCTGACAGTCTCTGTAACTGGCAGGGGGAAGGCCTCTGGAAGGTTCGGGGAGCAGAGGCGCACAGGAGCGAACCAAACCTTTTTCCAGATGGAAAGCGCGCTTCAAAGCCGCCTCGCTCACAAAGAGAGGATTTCTTGCCGAGGTGCAGACCCCGTGACATCTCCCTCTTTATAGCGGCTATCAAAAAAAGATCAGTGGAGGGGTCAAGACTTTGGAGGTGCCTCAGAGGCCCGGCACTGCAGCGGTATTTAAGCGGTAGTGGGAGATCAATGGCTAAGGGAAAACGAGATTGATTTCGGTACGAGTCAATAAGCGATGTTTCCTAAACGTAGAGACGAGGTACAAGCAGAACAAAGTACGACATCACAGTTTATCATTCTGCTCTCCAGCTCATGGCACAGTTTTACAACACAGTCTGTTCCCACAACTGTACAGAATTACCCAGAGTACTAAAAGTCAAGAGAAATGAATGTTCTGTTTGACGTAGGCACACAGATATCCTGTCTGTGTCAGTGCGCGTTTGTGTGTGTTTGTGTGCGTTTCTGTTGTCACCTGTGGTACTGTGCTTGCAGAAACTGGAACTCATCCTTGATCCTGTCACAGGAATCGGAGGTTGTGAATTTCAGCTGCTGCGATGAGGCCTGCAAAAAAAAAGACAAGGAAACAAGACACGTTGAGAACATAATAGTGACCAGAAGAGCAGTCTACTGTACAGGGAGAGCTAATAAAAACCATTAACATTAGATCAAGAAGTGCCACAGTCCTACATGACTATGACAGAGGTTGCCAAAAAACGTTTTTACACATACAAGAGAACAAGCGCACAAATCTCTGAACAGATGCAAATCAAAGCTGGGTGCAAGCACGAAAGAAAAAAATCCAAACATGCGAAGCCTTGGCTCCTGACAGCTTTTGGACCCTTGCGATGGATCGCTCTGTCATATATTGCCGAGATCAAACGCCCGCGCGCAGACATGAGCAACGCGTCCATAAAAAGCCACAAATTGATCACAGGACACCTCTGGTTAGCCTTCGACAGACAGAACCTGAGCTTCCAGCTGTCCGCGCTGTGGTATTGGCAGCGCCGAAGCCACAGCGAGAATTACGGCCCCGGGCCATTACAAACAATAACTCACGCGGGAAGCTCTAACAGCATGTTGATGGATGACTACCACGAGAGTCAGGCCTATAATCCAATGTGTTGTTATTCTGACATTCTTTGTAGATATCCCAACATTCAGTTTAGGAAACAAAACGTAGACATATTGGCCCGATAGAATAAATATGCTCTGCATAAACAATGAAGGTCACACGTGTTCATAAAGTTTCTTGTGGAAAGGATAACAATGGATGGCTGAATCCCCCCCCCCAAAAAAACCCTCCCAACTACATGTTTGGGGTGTATTACCTGTATGGATCACATAAAAATACCATTTACAAATTAATTCTATTTATATTTAAAGAAAGTACTCTATACCCTCTTAACTGCATATATCCTGTAAATCAATTATCAAATCTTTATTTATTAATTACAAAATCCTAAAATAAACTGGATAAAACTGCATCAAGTAAAAGAACTGTCAGAACCTCTTGCAACAAACATGATGGCTCTTTTACCTGAGCTGGATTTTGGCTCAGTTAGGCTGAACCAATGATTTCAAAGGTTATCCTTGTAGCTCATATTTGTCATAAGAATATATGTGAAGCAACCACATGTGCACACACATCAAATCATGTCTCGTCTTATTATCTGAACTGTTTGTACTAAACTTAAACACAAAAACTGCAACTTAACATGTATAAAAACATTTTTTGTCAACTTACGAATCATTCTCCCCAAAATGCACTCCTGGTTGGAAATAAAAGGTAACAATCCCCAGATAAAAACCTAAAACAGATCCATATATACAAAAAAAAAAAACACACAAAAAAAACATTTGCTTTGCGGTTATTTGCCAGTTAAAAAAATGTATCCTGTGATTTTTTGTTAGCTTAGACTCAACAGTTACAAGTCTCCTAGTATAAAAATATTATAAAATGAAATTATAAGCCCTCTTTACTTCTGACTAATACTTTGACCACTTCCAGTTTTGAGAACTGAACAACATTCATGCTGGATAAGAAGGAGTCTGGATTTTTTTTTTAACAAGACTGAAACAAATATGGACCTTTTATCCTTGAAAACATTGCGCATGCTGCTGACATTATCCTTTTGCCACCGCACATACTCCATAAACAGGCCGTTGCTCAGAGACATAGGCTCTTCCTGTAAAACGGAAGAACCTTTTTCATTATCTCTTCAGCCAATATGTCGTGGGCCAACTTCAGCAAACACCAGCTCGTCTTTATGGGCCTGCGCCACACAAGAGCCTGTGTCAACAGCACACACTTGGCAACAGGCAGCTGAGAAACCGACCGAGGTTTTGGGGAGTGCATGTCCCAGATTACCCTCTTTGCTCCGGGGGTAGCAGTGCTGCTCCAGATCCAATTTCCTCACTGCAGCGAGCAGTATGCAAACACTTAGAATACCAAAGTTTGCCTTAACTGCCTTAGGTAGGTAGTGGAAGGAAGTGGAGCTGGATTAAGACAAATCAAAGGAGGACAAAAGGCAAAAAGTAGCAGAGTAATAAACAAAAACAAAAAAAAAGATCAAGAGCTTTTTGAAGTCCTCATAAATGAAAACTATGTGGTGCGTGTTCTTTGAGCCTAATCATTTGCTGGAACATGGGCAAAACACGCCAACTTTTACACAAAGCATCTGCGAGCTGTCCCCCCCCATGTGAGGCACCACGTAAATGGGCCGCTTGTGACTCCGCGGTCAGCTACAAATCCAGATGTTTGGGACATTGTTATGGCTGATAAAATAGCAGCAGTAGAATGCAAACATCAGAGGCCCAACAGACTTCTTTATGGTGGGAATCACCTACATTTCATCTAAATTTCTCATACATTTACCATCTGCGTAATAATCTAGCTATGGTCTTCAGGTCAATTTGACCCATTTATCCATTTATTTATCTTTTTTTAATGGGCCTCCCATATCATTCCTTAATAATCCATCATTCCTGCTGTTTTTGGTTGTAATTTTGCAAAAATGAGGTGTATAATACCAAACATTAAAAGAATTAGACAACTAAAAGTTGCCCAATCTAGCTCCGGAGGACAACAGGTTTGACTATTTTCTTTCATTAAAACATAAAAATGGGACTATAAGAGGGTTAATGACCTAAGTGGAAACATCTGAAAAGGTTGTGTCTATATATGTCAGGGGAATTGGATATGTAGTTCCAATTTCTTTGCAGTTTTTTCTGTGACCTCCACAGGACACTTTTTATTACAAGGTTTTTCTTAATTTCCTCTAACGTACTTGAAGGCAAATGTCGAATGAAAATATATCTTTTGATCTTCTTTTGCTCCTTAGACACAAACATTGACACATGACCCAATATATTAGTGGCTATGACTAAATTCAATTACAGCATTTAGACCAAGTTAGTTCAGTTGCTCCAAGAGATTTTTAGGCAGCAAATAATAGCTTGATTCAGTAATAAGTCAGTCGTCTCCATCTGATTGAATAAACTCCTTTCCACTGAGTAGTAGGGGAATTTTCATATATAGGTATAATGGTTGTCATTGGGGGGAACACCACATCAAAGAAAATGGCAGGCAGTGGTCAACATCTGGACTCACACTGGACCTTCTACGTGGAAACATTTCAAAGATCAGAACACAGATATGAACTCAAGAGCAAGTGAGTTCCATTTGCTAGCCCCAAACTCAAAAGATGTCCACATTTGGTAGTCAGCTGGGATTCATTTGCAAGCTTCGCTGGAGGTAACGTTAAAATGTGCTCTTGCCTCTGGCCGTGCAAACAGGATGGAGAGACATCAGGGTTCGTTTAACTTAGTTTGGTCCTTGCAAATTAAATCAAGTTCGGAACTTCCACTGGAAGAAACTAAAAGTCCGCATCGAACAGTCATTCCTGACGTGTAGCATTAATAACTCCTGGCACGAGGAGAGTAATACGAATCTGCTTCGCATATTCAACCAGTAATTTTGGATAAAGACAATGAACAGAAAAACAAAACAAAATACTCCGGTATCAGCGTAAGAAGGACAAATCTTACAGCCGCGCATATTTTTGCTGCCACATAACCAGAAAATGTGGGTGTAGCCGATATAACAATGGTTATTATCTCCTTCTCCGTCAGTGACCAAAACAAGGTGCTCCATGGTGGCTTGAGTGCACACAACAGATGGACGCCCATAATGTTAATGAAATACTGCTGGAATATTGTGACACGTGCCATCTGCTGTGACAAAAAAAAAAAAAGACGGTTGCACGCGGGGGGAATGAATATGCATTTGTACGAGACGGGGGGGGGGAGAAAGAGAGAGAGAGGCGGGCTGGATATTAATGTGGGTGTTTAGTGCTTTTGTTAGCGTTTCAGGAGAATGGCCTTGACGATGTGGACCCGTGTGCCTGAGCAAAGCCAGAGCCTTGCTGCGGAGTAGCTGTGTGCGGGGCTTTGTTTTGTGTGTCCGCATGCGTGTGTGGATGCGTTTTAAGCCTCCAGGTTTGATTCCTGGCAGAAAAAAAAAAGGGAACAACCACTCACTGCCGTACATCTTACAGAAGGATACAACAGCCCACGTGTGAAATTTGCATAACACACAAACACAAACATACACACACAGTCACACACACAGTCACACACACACGCACCACACCTAAATGTAGGACAATCTCTAATTTGATTCTGCCCTGCTCCTTGGAGACATAATTAAAGCATTAAAAAGCTTTGTGGGCTGCTGAGGCAATTGAGACAGTCTTCGGCGAATAAATGGGATTCATCGTTTCAGGAAATTGCTGCCCCACCCCCATGCCCCCACCCCTAAACCCTAAGCCTACTCATCATCCCATGCCATACACACACACACAGACACACACAGACACGCACACACCCTTCCTGGCCTCATCATCTGGTTCAATCCATGTGAAATCTTCTGTGAACCATTATGTCTATTTTAAATAAGAATCAGACTTAGGCTGTTCTCTGCTTCATAGATCATTTGACAAAAGCATCGGGAAGGAGTGGAGATTACAGGAGGGACTTAGCCCCCCCCCCCCACACACACACTCACACGCAGATCACACAAGTGATTAGACACACCAACAATATCTGAATACAGTTGAGCTTTTGGACACACAAGCTGAGTAAACAGAGCAAAAATGGGGGAACGGGCGCACGCACGTGCACACAATAACGGCAGAAAACATCGGAAAAACATCCTGCTCGGTCTAAGTCCCGCCTCGGGGTAGCTGCGATGAGAGGATTGTATTTCCTGGAGCACTCCCTGACTGTTTACATCTCAGTCGGAGTGTGTTTGTGTGTGGTGTGTGTGCATGTGCTTATGCGCTTGGCAGGGAGGGGATGGAGCCTTGGCATTGTAATCACTCACTAATGACTGGATGTTATCCCACTCCCACTCTTAAATGAATGCAGAGGATCCACAATGACGAACAGTTGGCTTATTTTCACTGCCAGGTTGCCTGTTTGTTCTCCGGCAATAGCCCCGAGCTCGCCATTTAAGCGGTACGCCTCTTCGGCCCGAGACAAACTCCCACTGCTCACTTTTTCTGTAAAGGATGGATGGACAAATCGTTATCCAAGGTTATCGC